TTAGAAAATAAATAAAATCTTTAAACCGAGCCATAGTTCTCATCACATTTGAGTTTGTTATCTCTCAACTGTTTTCTGGTAAGTAATAAAACTAATTTAACTATGGGTCTGGTAAACGTGGAATTTGCAGTTCTCAACTTCACTACTCGAATCAAACCGTCTGGACCCGAGTAAGTTTTGATGATCAAAGCTAGTGGCCATTGTCCCGGGGGAAACTGGGAGTCCTTAATCAGAACAAGATCACCAACCTGCACAGAAGGTCTCTCGTGAGGCCACTTTTTCCGAGTTTGAAGGCTCTGCAGATATTCGGTAGACCAACGCTTCCAGAAAGATTGAGCCAGTTGACTGATAAGTTTCCATTTATGGAGCGTTGGAACTCGTTCACTGGTAGTATCTACCTCGGGCAACAGAAACGTAGGTCTCATGATTAAGAGGTGTGCCGGGGTTAGAGGAAACGAATCAGTAACATCTAACGTTAATGGAAGCAAAGGGCGAGAGTTTAAACAAGCTTCAATCTTACAGAGTAAAGTGCAAAACTCTACAAAGGTGAAGATTTGTTCTCCCACAATTCGTTTAAGATGGAATTTCACCGACTTAACGGCTGCTTCCCAGATACCCCCAAAGTGGGGAGCATGCGGCGGGTTAAAGTGCCAGTTGGTCCCTAATGATACTAGACTTTGAGCTAATTCAGATTCTTTCAATAGGTTTTTTAGAGCTAAATCCAATTCCTTTGCAGCCTTCACAAAATTGGTGCCACAGTTGCTAAAAAGATCAGAACAATGCCCGCGCCGAGCTGTCATCCGTTGAAAGGCTGCAACGAAGGACTCAGCAGTGTAGTCCTCGACCACTTCTAAATGGAGAGCCTTAGAGCTGAGACAAATGAACACAGCTATATAACCCTTCGTGGTCCCCCTGCCTCGAGTCTTAGACAATCTGATGGCAAATGGACCTGCATAGTCCACACCGACTTTACTGAAAGCTGGAGCTGGTCTTACTCGTTCAGCAGGCAGGTCACCCATCTGCTGAGTTAAATTGGAGGCTTGGACGCGACGACATTTCAAACACCTATTGACACAGGACCGAACACATTGTCGACCATTTATTATCCAATATTTAGCTCGCAATGTGGTCAATGTCAACTGAACGCCACCATGTAAAGTGACCTCGTGGATAGATCTAATAATCAAATTGGTGAAATAATCGTGCTGGGCCAGAATGAGAGGATTTTTTATCTGATCATCTAAAATAGAGGCTGCCAAGCGTCCACCAACTCGGAGAAGTCCCTTGCTCAGCACAGGTTTTAAACTGGCTATTCGACTATTAGAAGGTAGGGAAATTTCCTCAACAAAAAGTTTAGACTCCTTACTATTAAGAAGGCGCAATTCAATTGGAAAGTGTAAACCTTGATGATAGCTTACCCAAAAAAGAGTTGGATTGTTTATTTCTTTAGTGTCTAAGATTTTAGTTGACGATTGAAAGTGAGCCGAAATGTCAAGGAATTTTAGTTTACTCAATTTATTCACTTGATCATAAGGGTACATTGAAACGTTCAGTTTTGTCATTTGAGCTTTGACACGACACTTGAACACGAATCTTAACACATAAGCTGAAACAGCTAAAAGTTTCTTCAAAGTTGAGTACCTGTGATACAAAAACCACGGTTTTTGAACGACTTTATCATTGGTTTGTACCGCAACACAAGCGTGAGCGTCCATTCGAGAAGCTAATTCAGAATCTAGTCTGAACGAAGGGTAAAGTGGTTCGATTTCCTGTAGGAACGAAGGTCCCTTCACCCAATGCTCCAGTGCAACAAATTGGCTTGGTTTTACTCCACGAGACGCAACATCTGCGGGATTGAGCTTGGTCGAAATATGATGCCAGTGAGCGGAGGGTACTAAGGTGTGTATGTCAGAGCACCGATTAGCCACAAAAATGGGCTACCGTGATGGTATATCCTGTAACCAATACAAGACATCTTTAGAATCGGACCACAGATGGACTGAATCAGGAACACGAGTATTGTTGTTCAAATAATGATTCACCAATTTGGCAGCCAAATGAGCAGCACACAATTCAAGTCGAGGAATACTCAAAGTTTTAAGTAGTGCTACCTTTGTTTTGGACAAAAGCAAGGCGACAATGACCTCACCGTTATTATTCACTACTCGAGAATACATTACCGCTGCGTACGCTGTTTTAGAAGCATCGGCGAAGCAGTGTAATTTCCATTTAACCATATTGTCGGTAACACCATTCCAGCGTAGAATTTTTACTTTATTCAAGGCAGGAAGTTCCTTATACCAGGCAAGCCAGTCTTGAACTATGAGCTCTTGAATCGGTTCATCCCATGACAGTTTCAAGAGCCAAAGAGATTGCATGAATGCTTTAGCCGAAATCACAGTAGGAGCTAACCAACCCAATGGATCATAAAGTTTTGATATCTCAGAGAGAATCTTTCTTTTCGTCCAATTATCTACTGGCACTTCAGTTTCAATCAACACCTTAAATTGAAAAAGATCCAGAAGGGGGTTCCAGCTAAGACCCAAAACTAAAGTAGACATAGCAGAATCTTTAAATTCCAATAATGAACTTGCGAGCAGAGAGGGTGGCAAATCATCTAGCAGTTTTGGAGAATTAGCACTCCACTTTCGAAGAGGAAAACCTCCTGATTCAGTCAATTTCAACAATTCGTCCCTGCGCTGAATGCTTTCAACCAAGCTGTGACCTCCGGACAAAATATCATCCATGTACTTGGATTTCAAAAGAGTTTCGGAAGCTAAAGGGTACTCATTCTTGCAATCCAAAGCTAACTGGCTTAGAGTTCGAGAAGCCAGATAAGGCGAGCTAGCTAGGCCGTAAGCTACAGTGGTTAGAAAGTAAACACGCAGAGGTTTGGACTGATTATCTCTCCACAGTATAGCCTGATAGAGTTGATCATTTGGATGGACTGACACTTGCCGAAACATTTTGGCAATGTCAGCTGTGAAGACATATCTATAATTTCTCCAATCAGCGATTAGATCAGCCAGATTTACCAATAGATTAGGTCCTATGTGCAAGTACTCATTCAAGGAGGGACACAAGGAAGAACGAGAGGAACCATTAAATACCACTCTCAATTTCGTAGTACTACTCGACTCCTTGATAACACCATGATGGGGTAAAAAACACTTAGCTTTTTCAAAAGATCCTTCGACCATATGCCCTGATTCCAGATATTCTTCCATGAATTGGACATACAGTTCGCGAAACTTATGATTCTTACTAAGTTTAGTCTCCATTGATTTGAGCATAGCTTGGGCAGCTTTAAAGGATGTTTCTTTAATTACTTCGGGTGGTTGGTCCTTGAAAGGATAACGAACAACATATCGACCTGAAGAATTCCGAGCGTGATGTTCAACAAAATGCTGTTCGCATTGAATCTCTTCAGGCCACAGAGGTAATACAGAAGTGAAGGGTTCTTCAACTTGCCAGAATCGTTTCAAAACTTCGAGAACTTTGTCATCCTCAGAACACTTTAACGAGTGAGACACGTTCTTACTGTTTTTAGTGGTAGTTTCAACCGGGCCTGAAACGATCCATCCAAGCTGTGTATCAGATGCTATGGGTTGGAAAGAATTTCCCTTAAAAACTTCTCCCTTGATAATAACAGTATGAACAGTTGATCCTAGTAACAGATATATTTTGCGAGTTTTAGTGAACTGCGGATCAGCTAAGACCAACTGGTGCAAGTGCTCTACAATTTTGTCGTTAGACAAGTAGGGGGGCTGGTAAGAAGTTACTCGTGGGAGGACCAAAGCTTCTATTTCCAATTTAAATTTTGGATCCACAGTTGAGCCTAAGACGAGTGAGACCTTTCTTTTGCTATTTGAAGAAGTCTGACTACCAACCCCAGTCAGGGACACGTTAATCTTAAAGCCACGCAAACCTAATAAAGAGCACAAAGACTGCGAAATGACTGAGCACTGGGAACATTGATCAATCAGAGCTCTGACTTGAAAACATTCACCTAGTGAGTTGTGAATGTTGACTAAGGCAGTGGCTAATAAGACACCAGTAGGTGTTTTGAAAAACGAGCTATTTACACAATTATTACAAGAGATCTCATCAGATGACGACTCAGACTCCTTTACCGCCGTAATAGCCAGAGAGGCCTTCTTACCAGAGATCCCTTTATCCCTTTTACTCTTAGTAGACTCCTCTTGCTCTTTGTGCAGAAGGGTATGATGTTTTTGTTGACACTTTTGACAAGTTTGAGTAGAACCACAGTCTTTAATCCAGTGAGAACCCAGACAATTGAAGCAATGACGGTGGATTTGCAAAATCTCGCGTTTTTCAAGCCAAGTCATGCTTCGGAAAGTGTCACAATTCCAGAGAGGGTGAATGTCCTCACAAACTGGGCAAGGTTTTTTATTTTTTACAACCTCATTATTAACAGTAGCATGAGACGAGTATTTAGATTTGAAGGTAGACTTGGGTTCTCGATCGAAGGAACGATCTTGATATGACTCAAGAGTTTGTATCTGATTGTGAAAGAAATATCTTAATTGATCGAGGGTTGGAGGCTCTGCTACACTGCCAATATGTTTAAACCACTCCTTATGAAGACTAGAATTTAACTTACTGACAGCTAAAGCGACTATAACGTCACCGTTACCTAAATCTCGCCGAAGAGCCGAGAGAGCATCAACCGCCCCAAAGACCTCTTTATTTAGGCGTTTTACTTCTGTAAATGATTCCAACTTTATAGGTACTATAGACTACAGCTGACTAGTTTAACTATTTACTAAGCGCTTATTACTGTTGTAATGTTCAAGAAGAGTATTCCAAGCCCTGATATAGTTACCTTCAACTATACTGATATTTTTAATCAGATCAAGCGCATCTCCTTTGACATGGGTGCGTAAGTGTTGGAATTTAACTACAGGAGGATACTCCTCCCTGTTGTGAACTAAAGCTTTAAACAGGTCGCGGAAAGACTCCCAATTGGCGCATGAACCGTCGAAATCCGGAAGGTCTAGTCGGGGCAGACTAAGTTAATTCGGATTTATACTTGGATTTATAGGAGCCGGTGATGGTCGAGGATCGTCGATCGGGGCTATACGACTTAAAAAATCACGATACTCTCCAATCTGACTATAATAAGCCTCCTTGGTCAGGTCAAACAACTTCGATCTGAAATAAGCATGATTCAGATCAAGATCCTCCGATTCAATGATCTCATCATGGATTCGTTTGAACTGTTCGAATAAGTTCTTCAACATATCTAATCAAGCAGATACTTGACCTGCGGTCATCTTTTCTGGTTTCTTTTTAAAATTACCGAAAGAGTTACAGATTTTTTCATAGGTCGAGTTTTGTTTATCATAATATTCATCCATAGTGATAAGGAAGAAATCCAACCACCAGATCGAATATTAATAACTATTTACACTCAAAGAAGTCGAGAACTAGCTATCAGCTCGAAGTTACAAAACTAAGATAATTATGTACAGAGACTTTACACTAATACGACTATATCAAGATGAGAACAAGGTTGACAGCTATCAGGCTATGCTTGAGCCTGCAACTTACTATGCGAAAAAACTATCAAGACAAGAAAACAATATGAAAGGTCATCAGGCAATTTTAAACCAACTTCTCAAGTCAGGAGAAACTGTTTTGAATCGAGAACTAAAAGATTGACAGCTATCAAAAGTTTTGAGCCTGTCACTCTAAAGCGAAGAAATTATAAGCGGGAGAGACTATAAGCGGGTGTACTATAAGCGGATGTACTATAACGAAGCAAAGACTAAAAGTTGACGGCCATAAACTACTCTTGAGCTCGTAACTCAGCAAACAAAGTATGTGTAGACCACCAACTAGTAAGTTAAAGTATCAAGGGGCTAAGTAACTATATGAATGAGAACTAAACAATGCAAAGAGAGGGTAAACGAGAACAAAATAACTATTAAACAATTTAACTGAGGTAGTGATCCTGAACAGTAGCTAGATTTATAGAGGTTATAGCAACGTACTTGAAGGCAACGATAAACAAAGGCGCAGCAAATGCAGTAGTGTATCGACCAATAACGAGGAGATACAAGTAACGATTACTAATGCCATACGGTACATTTACCAGACCAGATTTGATAATGAATATAACTATGATTGAGTCCAGTGACTAAGGTATCTGCAACTGAGAGATAACAATTACTCTTATAAATAAATAAGGTTTCTCTACACACTAAATCGAATTTTATCCATCAATTCAAATTTCAAAGCGGGTTCGCAAATTTACTATCAAGTTGATTTATCTAACATGTGTTTGTATTTCGCAAAACTATAATTAACTAATTGTAGTTATCAAACTACTTCAATAGAGGTATGTTATTTTAATTAATTTTATGAGTACTCAAGTTTGTAAGCGGGATACCAAATACTATAATTGAAATTGAGTTTCAAATTCACGTGAAATTTAAACAACTAAACTAATTATTAAAAGTCAATTGTCTATTTTCACTAATCACAACCCTTTCGCGAGCACTGGTACTTATCTGTGAGATATTCATACAACGCTGCAGCAACTTAGAAGAGCCGAAGATGTACAGCAATCAACAATCAGCACTTAACGGCAGCTGGGCTCGTGGCTAGCATCTCCTACCAGACGTGGCAGTATAGCGTGCGCAGCAATTCCAGGTACCAGCTCGGACGAAAGGCCGTTGTTGATTAGCATCGAGGTGATGGTCGTAGGCTAAAATTTACGTAACACGCACGCCGACTTTAGTAAACATTCAACTAAGGTTAACGTGAAGAGTGCGCGTACGCAACCTCCTCATGTGTGTAGGAACAAGGGAGAGAAAACGAGTCAAACAACAAGGCTCGGAGTCCACAAGGAGAAAGAGAGTGGGAGAGGGGGAGAGAGAACACAGAGCCCCGAATGCTCTGTGGCGTTCACCCTCTCGTCGCTCAACTATATATATGCTCTCTCCCTCTCGCACGCGACTATGCGTGAAGACGACAATATGGCTGCCGAAAAGGCGTAAAAGGAGCGTGCTACTCTAATGGCGCAACCAGCACGGCACAACTTCGTGGGTCTCCCAACCGGATCCGGCTCGAAGGACAATGTTCTAAATGGACTGTATTTCTTTGATTTTCTTCTTTTTTTTATGAGGAGCGAACGACTCCGGGAGCCGGATAGAGGTTGAGGAGACAAGGAAAATGTAGAAGAGATGCGGAGAGAGAACGACGAATATCGTTCCTCTGTAATAGAGCATGCACGAGACAAATGTTCAAAGTTCACTATGCTTTATTATGAAAAAAAACAAAACACTCGATTTGAGTTGAGAAGTATTCGTGAATAATTACAGTTAACAATAGAAAGGATCGCACTAACGAAGTTCATTAAATTGAATTGAACGAGGAGTACAAATCACCGTGACTGATACACAAGGTGACGAGAATTTATGGCGACTAAAGTAAAGCACGCCTATATGAGGCACAACACTAGAGACAACTGGACTGCACTGTGCGAGCGACGAGGGCGAACTGCTGTCGCTACCGCCTCTAGGCTTATTCTTACCTCTCCTGCGTGACTCACTCGAGCACTCATTGGCTAACGCTGACATCAGTTGATACGAGTGTCTCGAACACCGTGAGGCGCGTGCGCCGCACCATATCAATCCTGAACAATTATTAACGA